ACAGGACTTGGCAAAGTGCCAAGAGCGCCGCGCGGACGGCTGTTAGCATAAACGGGAGTCTGCGCCGCAAGGGCATTGGGCGGAGCATGGAGGAATTAGCGTGTTTCACGGTCCTGTATCTCCATTCCTGCGCATGTTAGGACGGGGAAACCGCTACGCTTCGACAGCTGGGGGCTGATAGTCACGCACACCCAAACTATGATTGTCGTACCATGTCTTTAAATGGACGAAGCGCACGTCGATACCCCTAGCACGGAAAAATATTGTGCCCTTTACCAGGCCTCGCGTGGCGCCTTTTCCAACCAAGGGCATCGTTTAGCGCCCAATCAGGGTGCAAGTGCCAACACAGAAGTCACCTCCCTCTTCCCCTCCGCAACCGCCCACCCACGAATGGCCGCACAGCCGCATTGACGCTGGTACTCCTATCGCTTCATTTATGATGTACAATTGATATATTGATGTACATGACCCGTTGCTGCATGGATATATGAACACATAAGTGCAGCCGTATCTATCAAAGCGATTGCTGGGCGATGCCAACGGAAAACTCGTCCAAAAATGCTCGTCCAGTGACGTGCAGAAAAAAGGTCTTCTGCTGGTTTTTGGTCGTTTAATTTCGCTTTTTCGTCATATTCCCACTATGTAGCACCCCTGCTACTATTTTTGGACAGGTTCTAAAGTATCCTGAACCATGCTTTCAAGTACTCGAATTGATTCCACTGCATCCGCTTGGGTGGAAGGGGAAATGACGAGCGTTTTTTATGCTTACTTCTTTTGTTAGAATTGGTTATCTCTTCCAAGTTCTCCAAAAAAGACATGTCAGGGAGAGCTGTGTTCTTTCTTACAATGATGGTTCCATTTATTCGTTCGATTTGAGCCAGCTTTTCCAAATCTCGCGGTATTGCTGCAAATTGTTTTTGTTGAACTGTGCATACCTTCTGTTGAATGTAATTTTCGAGTTACGAAATTGAACAGCAGTACAGTCAACGATTCTAGAACAGCGTAACCAGATCTCCTATTCTCTAGATCGATTCTTCCAAGCGAGATAGGCAAGAGAATCGCAATTCTCCACTTTGTCGCGCGCCTCAATTCCGGAGCACAATTCCTCTATTCCTAATTCCTTATATTTGCACTACCTTTGCGGTTGTCAGCATAGGTTTCATGTACACAAGAATATGGTGGACGCTTGTATCTAATTTTGTCCATACTTTGTCTATTCTCGACGAATACCGGCTAATCACACCAAAGATCGTCGTCATTAGCGGGCCGCGATGCCTTCTGACGCGGCGAATTACGATTCTTTTGCTACTTACCTTTGCGGCCTCTATTCTGTTCTCCGATGCTGCAAACTACAAACACGGTTCGGTACTTATTTAGCTTGGTTGATTATTCACTAACTGGCAAACCGCTGTTAAAGTCACGGTCCGCGATGAGGAGCTAATATAATGATGTTGAAATATAGGAAAAAAGTTGGTCATGGACTCGTTCGTGAAGGGGAAATGGGAAGATGCCGAAGGAAACTCGACTCGCCTTCAATAGGATCCCCTGTAAAAGGCGAAAAGACCGCGTGTAGGGACCGTCCACTCCGCTGACTCCTTGTAATGATCACTATTATCCCACAAAGAAACAAATGGCTATCCATTTCATGCTACGGTATATCTTGAGAGCGAAGTCTGGAGGCGAAATCACTGGAAAGAGGGAGGTGCCACTGGAGCAACTTTTGCCCCCTAACTCCTTTACCTTACAACTTAACGCAACGAAAGTGGCACAAGCTTGTCCCTTACAGTCCGCATTACCCTTCCCACACAATCTTGCGTTCTCATATGTCATCGGGGACCGTTCCTTTAACAGTTCGAACCAGTATCGATGTTATCATTGTCTCCAAGATTCAAAACGATTCAAACGGTTTCTAATCTAGGCAATTCGCACATACCTTTCATATGTTCAACGACCAAATCACCCTCAATGGTATTACAGAGCTTATCGATTCCTTTTAGATAATTGATGCTGACAAGTCCTCCTTTACATTGAGTCACTTAACAAGTTATTTTATATGTTTGCTTACGTTACCGTACGAGTGGTACCTGCTGAAATATGCACTGAAGATTTAATTGCGAGAAAAGGGTTGAAACAGCTTGAGGTATCAAAGCCTTGAGGTGTTGTGAAAATATGCATGTAGTGTAGTTCACTGCGGACGGTTGGGCGTGTCAGGCGGGATGAATTTGGCGCGGTGCCAAACCCGTTCCCCCCAGTTGTTAAAGCGAGCAAATGATATGACTGTATCATATCGTTCGTATTACTCGTTTTCTACCACTTTTTGTCGCATGCGCGCTTCAACAAGAAGGCAGAGAACGGCTTTGACGGGGTGACACACTCATACTGCCTGACACGCCCAACCGTCCGCAGCGAACTAGAGTGTAGGTACATTCACTCATAGTCCCTGCAAACGAAAGGGCGTGTGAAAGCGCGGGGAGTGGAATTCTTTCCGGGGCGGCCTTTTCCACCAATGATAATATCCGGAACAGTGCTAGAGACAACATGTACACATACCTCCAAGGACGTCGATTTCATTTGGTAAATGGGTTCGCCACCGCAAATGCGTTACCACTTTCTTCTCTCAGAAATGCACGGAAACTGGGCTGGAGAGTAGTGGGACACGGTGCCGGCACCATACTTCGTCCGCGTTATCCTCAGAGTGCAGCACTCGATATCAAGGCCCCGCTCCGAAACATATACTCGGTGGTAGAGAACAATTAGAAATGAGAGGGCGCAGACAAGTAGCGCGTTCGACCACGATTAGTTGCGTGGTCGGGGTACAGCGTCGTTGTGTGAAACATGGGGGTCGTACTATTCCGCTGGGGAGCGGGGAGGTCGTAGTTGGTCGTTGTTGGGAGAGGAGGAGGGTCATATGTACCTTTCGGAAAAATTTGTCGCGTTGGAACGAAAATTTCTCATGCGTACTATATACTCCCTCCGCTCCACAGCAAGGTTTTTTGGAGGAAAAGAAAAGTAGAAAAATTTTCGGTTAAGTCCGGAAAAAAAAGTAATAGGAAGCTAGGGGAAAACAGAAATTTTTCCGTCTCACACTAGCTATCCCCTCTCCCTCCCCGCACCTACCTCCCCGTTCGACGGAGAAAATCTTGAAAAACTGGAAAATATGGCAATATGGCAAATTAGTAGGTATTGTGGAAGGGGGAGGTCGCGCCGGGACCCTCTTTCAGGTGGGGATTGTGTCGTACTGGCAGCACAGTTCATACATCACGATGCTGTACCCCGTGCGTGGTTGGCGACAATGCGAGGTGGGGGCTTGGAGTCTCCACGGGGTGCACAACCATTCGGCCTCGTCCCCGTGCAAAGTTAGAGCAGAGAAGGAGTCATCCTACTGCATCTGCGCACCCATTCACCTCATACGTGATCAGGATTCGTGAAGGTGAGTGTAGAGTTTCTCTCCAGGCACCATTGCGCGTAACTTTGATCGGTCCTGCACCTGAAGAGGGTGTCTATACGTCCCTCCCTTATTAGCAGCAGCAGCAGCAGCAGTTATCCTGTTTCTACGAATGCGTCGCGTGTTGTGAGACTCAAGCGGAGCATAGAACTGTGGACGTTGCAGGCATCCAATTACTTTTTGGTCAAAATCTGCTAAACTTCTATGTGAATCGTTGGCTTCTGGTCATGTATTATTGGTGAGCGTAGTCTGTAAGTGCTGATGAGGTTCGAACCAAAATAGCTACAGCTATCGTTTACCTTGCGTGCCAAATTCAGTCCAAAAACAGCGGGGGAATTTTGGGAAATTTCTTCTACATTTTTCAAAAAATCCCACTTTTTACTAAGCACAGCTTCGCTTCCAGCCAAAACTGAGCATAGAAGCATACAGGCTTCGCGAACTAGATGATATTCTCTTTCAAGCAGCACAATATTCATACCCTAGACCTAATGTTTTAGAAAATCGCTCAAGTTTTTTTTCGAGAGTTTCCTAACAATTGTTCACAGGGATCATGACTATATTTGGATGCAGAGTGTGGACATCGAACTACTCACTATTAACTCCATGTCTACTTTGCACTACTACTGAATTGCTGGATTTACTTTGCTTGCTGTATTTTGCGAAACATGCAGTGGTGCATGGAAAAAAAATATAAGACGCAGACAGAATATGACGATTTACAGCAGTTCTTGTCCCACGAGAGCTTCGCTTGTACCTTTTTTCGATTTTCTTTATCACGTCTACCGATAGACAAAAACTATGGTGGTTTGTTGTGGAACCCAGAAGAAGTTTGGCTTTGGCCGCGTGACTTTTCATCTTCAGTACCTCCGATATATAAGTCTCAATTTGCTAGATAGTTTATTATTCAAACCACACAGAGCTGAAACAAACAGGATCCAGTTTATCAATAATTGCTCGTTTTCTCTTTATAAGGTGACAGAATGGAATGCAGCTGCTCACGTTGCCATCCGTCAACAGTGACGTTTTTCAGGAAGCCCAAATCGTACTCCCATATTTCGTTTACAGTAATAGTACCGTAGACCTTTTTAATACGATACCATGCATTTCTCAAGTCTACGTCGCCTGGGTATATCACATCACCGACTAAGGCCGTACAGTCGGTGCGCTTCATAGCCATTGCCATTGTGCAGTCTGAAGCAACGCTTTAGAGCGGATTGTATCTGAACCTATTCTATTTCCAATGCACTCTTCCAAATCCAGCGGAAAATATGACGCTTCTAACGATAAGGGAACAATGCCTTTGAACTGCACCCATCCACAAGTTTGAACAATAAGTATTTCGGAGTGTAAACAGCGGCGTAGAACTAGACTTGTCGTCATAAAGCGAGTTAAACTATTGCGTTTCTCTATAGCAAAAATCCCCGAAGAACGTCAAAGTCCAACCATGTGGTGAACCAACGTCTACATCAAACGGTGCATTTGTAACCATCTCGCTGCGCAACTTCTTATTAGCTCTGATGAAGACTTCCTGAAAGCAAACTTCGCTAAATCATCAGGATTCCGAGCACCTTTTATTGGTGCTTGCAGAGAAAAAGCTTGCTAGGTCCCATTTGTGTCACTAGTCTTGCAGAAACAGCAGACCTCTCGTTTTATGTCCATAGTTTTGGATAACAGTATTTTTGTCAGCTTTTCATTTCCATACACCATGAGAGCGTACTTGTACCCTGAGGAAGGTTCAAAATCACTTGTTTCACGAGTATATGAAGATATGTAAATGTTCATACTACAAAAATCGGTGTTGGCCCTCAAGCTGAAAAAGGAACTCAGTGGTATCGCGTCCAACTTCTCGAGGTCAGCCATGATAATGCAACCCGTGAAATTTACAATCGCCTGAAATAAACCGGAGCTACGGGTGACAACGAGTGTGTAGGTAATTTTGCCAATAACAAGTGGGCATG